TTTTTTAATTAAATTTAAACTCAATATGGTTTTTTAATCAAAAGCCCCCAATTAAAAGACCTGAAACTTTATTATGGAAATCTCATCTTCTTCCTCAAGGACTTGTCATGCCAATACACGCTCTTTACATCTCTCTGCACATAGAACTCAATTTCAATCAAGTTTATTTTCATTCAAACGATTCATACACCATAAATAATTAAAAGGGAAACTAGTAAGAAACAACCATAAAAAGCTATTTTGATGTAACAAACATATAGAAGCTTAACCCCTTAGGATGTTTTAAACGTCAAGCCCGAGCCACTAAATTTTTCTTCATACACCTTTTCTAAGCGTTTTGACATTGAAGGTGTTAAATAATTTTTCCAATCTCCAACTTGACCTTTCCTATAGAAGTCACTGTATTTAGCCCCAGAAGGAAGTATGCCGGTTTTGTTCACCTCTAAATTTTTCATGTTATCAAAACTACAAAATTTTGATATTTCTTCTACTATTCCTTTGCTTTTTTCATTCTCAGTGAAAGGACAACCTAAAAAATCGGCCATTCTTTTAACTTGAAAGTTGATATTCTCTTTTAGATCTTCATATTTTAAGAACAATATCTTGTGCGGTTGCTCTTTGCTGGCCTTCCAATATCCCAACACATGTTCCCATATAGGGCCAAAGCCTTGAACTCCATTACAAACCGTCTCAAAAGCTTCATCAAATGAAACCAGCTCCTTGCTCTGGTCTTGATGAATTTGGATCAAGAATTTCCAATGGGAGATAAACTGATCCAAAGGATTCCTGCACATGTAAACGATGCGACAATTAGAATTCACAACAGAATTTGGTAATGAAGCATATGGGGTAGGTGTAGAGAAAATTCTTGGCGTAGGGAGATCTTCAGAAATAGGACTAGGGGGTTGATTTCTCATAAAAAGATCAAATTCAAGGAAAGGTACTAGCACATGAGGACTAGTAGTGAGCAAGGGACTATTTTCTAGTGCATAACGAGGACGATTGACAATGGTAAAAGTGATGGCTTTTAACCAGGTGGTGCCCGATTTGGGAAATGTGATCAATATTAAATCACTGTCTTGCGCTTGGAAATGTCTTTGAAAAGGGATAATGCCATGAAGGAACTCTGATCGACACCAAAACCCTTGGTATTGGCAAAGTTCACTACCATCCCAGTTTGTTGCTTTACGAAGCTGGGAAGAGAGTAATTCAATCTCTTTGCTCAGATCCTTCTCTTCCGTTGCAGGTGAAAGATTGTGGGAGTCTACTCTTTTCTCCATGGATATTTTACACAAGGAAACGGTACTTACACCGAGAACACATATGTTAAAAATTTATGTAGCGTTTTGTATAACGGTGGCCACGTATAAACGCAAAAAATTGGGCTATAATTGATGAAAAAAATACTCTACATGAACGCAAAATAAAGTCATGATTAACTACCTACCTTTGGGTGGTTGAGCGGTTTTGCGTTTGATAATGACTCTTGAGTGTATTATTCAAGAGATTTTGAGTTTGAGATTTAATCTCTCATTGGGTGCTAATGAAAATAGCCATTGAAGCTCTTATCCGACTAATAATTCTAGGTCTCGAAAGATTAGTTGAAATATATGTAAACTGGGGTGCCTGAGTACTACCTGGTCATAAAAAAAAAAAAAAAAAGTGATGTGACTTCAGTTATATTATTAATCTAATCATCGTAGCTAGGTCTTATTTCAATAATGAAAGTGTGATTCATGTTCAAATATTAAATTCTAAATAGATATTAGAAAAATATTTGTTGTACCAATCATATCTTCCAAAGATTTGCTGCTAATCGAAACGACATAGCCAACATCCAGATTTTTCCTTCTCATTGATTTAACTCTTATATCAGTACCGCGAAATTACAAAGGGGGAAGAGGTTTATATAGTGACCCGCTGCCCCCAAAATAATCGAAACTTGCCATTTAACCATAGATGTGTCACACATTTAGCAAGCATGTACAAAATGTTGCTACTTTTTGCTACGTGTCAAAGGTGGCAACGCCGCTTTTTGCCACATGTCAATGGTGGCAATAGCTAGGGGTGTGGAAAAAAAGTCGATATTTGATATCTGATTCATATCGATCCGATATCTAATCCGAAAAAACTGGATATCCAAAAATTCAGATCAGATTCAGATATCAATTTTTGGAAGATCCGAATTTTTGGATTGAATACTAGATCGACTCTACAAAGAAACTGGATATCCAGATCCGATCTAGTTTTGTCCATAACTACAAGTTTTGAGAAGCTATTTTGGGGTCCTAGGTGAAAAGTGGTAAAGTATGTGGAAAATATGATGACAACTTTAGGGGTCAAAATGTAATGAAATATTGATGTAGAAGGGGGTACTAAAGACTAATACAAAATTTTAGGGGGCAAATAATATTTTCCATGAAAATTCAGATCAAGACCAGATATCCAGTTTATCTGATCTGAATATTTGGATCGAATCAAAATTGAATCAAGCAAAATCAGGATCGGATTTGGATCAAGTTTTATCTCGATCCAAATTTCTAGATCGAATGAGAAAAATACAAAATCGGATCGGATNGGATATCCAGATCCGATCTAGTTTTGTCCATAACTACAAGTTTTGAGAAGCTATTTTGGGGTCCTAGGTGAAAAGTGGTAAAGTATGTGGAAAATATGATGACAACTTTAGGGGTCAAAATGTAATGAAATATTGATGTAGAAGGGGGTACTAAAGACTAATACAAAATTTTAGGGGGCAAATAATATTTTCCATGAAAATTCAGATCAAGACCAGATATCCAGTTTATCTGATCTGAATATTTGGATCGAATCAAAATTGAATCAAGCAAAATCAGGATCGGATTTGGATCAAGTTTTATCTCGATCCAAATTTCTAGATCGAATGAGAAAAATACAAAATCGGATCGGATATCTGGTTTTGCACACCCCTAGTAATAGCATGATGAACAAGTGTCAACTGATGGTAGATCCACATGTCTTTACAACAAAAGCGTTTTATATTTTCTATTAATCTTAAGAGTGTTTTGGTAACTAAAACCTAAATAATCATTTCTTGAAAAGATATCCAACCTACCTTTGAAAATTCTTAATAAAATATATTTTTTTCATAATCAATATTTTAGGTTACCAAATTCTTTTGATTAATTTCTTAAGACATAAGAATAATTAATTGATTTTCATGCCATCAATGATTCAAATCATAGCATGAAAAGTAATAACTTTTTCCCACCCAAATAATGGCTTAATGACAGTTTATTTCTCACACAGATTTTTAAAATACCACTTTACTGTCTAAATTAATATTTCGTCTTCGATTCCGGCATCATTGTGAACCCATACCACCACCGTTCTCCTTCTCGAGCATCATTCACCAAAACCCTTCAAACCCTACTCCCGCCAACCTCGCCAATCACCTCCAATCGAGCGATTAGGGTTTGCGTAGCCACTTGTCCCAAGTCAAATTCTGATAAATCCCAACTATAAAAATTCAATCTTCCACTACCAAAAGACTTATCGGCCTCCCCTCTTTAAAAGCCCCAACAACCTAAATTGAGTTTGCTCTCTGTTTGCTGCTCGAATATAAATTTAGGTAGTAAAGTGGTATTTTAAAAGTTTGTGGGTAGGAAAGTGTCATTAAACCATTATTTGGGTGGGAAAAAGTTGTTAACTCTAACATGAAATGGTTAACTTGCGGCTAGTTTTAATTAGATTGCACTACAAGAAAATTAACATTTTGCAACCAATTTTTTAGCAACTAACCAGAATTAGTTGCAAAAAGGTTACATTTATCAACTAAATTGACATTAGTCGAGCAAAGATGATTAAAATTTTGGGGCCCACATGTTCCAACATTTGGCATCTAAAGTTAATTTTTTGCGACTATTTTGTTAGTCATAGAATCGGTTGCTTTAGTGACTAATAAATTTAGTTGCAATTTTTTTCGAGTGATTTTTCCCTCCAAAATTTGATAATTTGCATCTAAAATATGGCTTTTGCATCTAAATTTTTGGTTACAAAAAACAATTTTTTGCAACTACTAATTTAGTTGCGAATAATTAGAAATTTATTAGTAACTATTATGATTAGTTGTAGAAAAATGAAATTACCAAAATATCCCATATTTTTACATTAATTACAAGGGCCCCAAAGTATATACAACAGCTAAATTTGATTTAGTTGCTAATTTAACTTAAAAAATTCTTATTCCCCCTAAAATTATTTGTTCCCGCCAGACCTCAATTATGGGCAACTAACACTAATTCTTTACTGACTAAATTTTTAGTTGCAAATTGACTTATTTCCATAATAGAATTATATTTCAAAATTAAATACCTAATTAGAAACCTTACCTTTTTAAGTTATTTACAGAATACCCTATCCTATATAAAGCAAGCATTTTTTGCAATTTCATCTCTTCTCCACGCATATTTGCCCTCGCTGTTGCCCGGATTTCCAAATTGCAGAACCTGACTTCATCTTTTCCCCACGCATCTTCATCTCGTCGATCTGACGCGTCTTCATCTTAATCGCTGTTGCCCAAATTTCTGAACTGTAGAACCTGACTTCATCTTTTCCCCAGGCATCTTCATCTCTTCGATCTGACGCATCTTCATCTTAATCGATGTTGCCCAAATTTCCTAACTGCAGAGCCTGACTTCATCTCTTCTCCACGCATCTTCATCGTTCAATTGATCTCCTTGGTTTCCTTCATTCATCGAATACGAGGCAGTCCCTAATCTCCCGTAAGTACAATTTTTGATTCTTTAGTTCTCTCACATGGTAACATTGAATCTGATTTCAATTATGTTTGAGTGAGACCTTTAATCTTGTAATGCTATTTATATTACCTAAAAAGAAACTCTCTACACCTCTCTCCATATGCCTTCTTTAGCACCCTTCGACGTTAACGGAATGAAAGAATAGAGGCAGATGACGAAGAAAATAGCTATTCAAAGGTTAGACGAAACTGACTTTTCGGTGGAAAAGAAGAAAAAGAAGGACTCAAAGAATAAGGCGGATGACTCTGAAAGGTCTAAGAAGAAGGATAGCAAGAAGTGAAAGGTTATGGAAGAAGATGATGAAGAGAGAAGTGAAACGAGCTTGGAATTAGGTGAGCCTGTGAATTTGAAATTGGATATATAAGAAGAAGCAAAAGAAAGCAAAAGTAGATGCTGAGGTGGAAGAGGAGGAGAAGAGTGAGAATCCGAATGCTATTTCTCGGTTTCGAATATCGGAACCATTGAGATAGAAACTCAAGTCTAAGGGTATTGAGTCTCTGTTTCCAATTTAGGCCACCACTTTTGATATGGTTCTTGATGGCTCCGACTTAGTTGGACATGCACGCACTGGTTAGGTATAATATTCTCTTTTAATTGATTTTTTTTTTTTTTTAACTTTTGGTATCTTAGTTTGGGAGAAGACTACAAGAAGGAAGAAATGGAAATAATGACGTGTGCGGCACGCCTCTGCCTCTTGCATTCATCTTCTAGAAGGCCAACAATGAAGACGGTAAACTTCTTTTTTCATAGTCTGAAAAAAATTTTGCGCATCAAATTTCCATTCTACCAAAAGTGTGAAGTAATAGAGAATCCTCAAGTTTGACCTCTTTATTGATTGTGCATGTTGGATCAACGTTTTAGATTATCGGAATTGACTCAAGTAAATGCTCTAAAATTTGCAGGATCTGAAGCAAAAGCCGAAGTACTTGCTGACAATCACAGTTGGTCTGAATCAGAGGCAAAATATTGATAGAATGGTTAAAAAGGTGTATATGAATGGACCATTTCATTCTTTTTTTCTACCTTAACTGATTTTTACTTTAGAGATACTGAGGTTTTTGTTACATAAATTTTGATAGTTTTCTGAGGATTTCCAACTTTTGCTTTTCCACTATGATGGTCGGACAAGTGAATGGGATGAATTTGAGTGGTCAAAGAGCGCAATCCATGTTAGTGCAAGGAGACAAACAAAATGGTGAGATTTTACGATCTTCTGCATAGTACTGAATTCCAACCTTTTAGCTCCTTTAATTTGAGAGCTACCAAAGTATAGAATAAGCATCTCATTGTTTTTATATGTTTTGTTTTCATGATCATCCATTCTTGAATTGCTTGGATTTATTGTCAGGGTTTTGATGCGAGAAATCTTCAATTTAAGCTTTCATTTTCACATATGATTGGCAGGTGGTATGCAAAAAGGTTTTTGCATCCTGACGTTGTTGCAGCTTATGAGTATATTTTTATTTGGGATGAAGATCTTGGCGTGGAACACTTCAACGGGGAGAAGTAAGTTCTATTTTTCCAGTTATGATTTCTGGTCAAGTTTAACAGTCACAACTTTCTTTCTAAATTGCTCCATATGAATAACCATGTATATTGAGTTGGTTAAAAAACATGGGCTAGAGATCTCTCAACCAGGTCTGGAGCCCAATAACGGATTGACATGGCAAATGACGAAGTGGAGGGGTGATCGAGAGGTTCACAAGTAAGCTTTATAGCTCACTCTCTTGCGCTCTGTCTCCCTTTTGTATAAAGTAGACATTTATTTGATGAGTATTGCTGGATTATTCGTATAATATCAGTTTGCTAAGACATGATGCATTTTGAATTTATTTTTAGGTTTACAGAAGAGAAACCTGGCTGGTGCAGTGATCCACATGTGCCTCCATGTGCTGCGTATGTTTTTTCTCTCTCACACGTAGATTTTGTATTAGTTTGATGTTGACATATCTCAATTGGTGAGTTAACATCATTCATAATTATAGTACTTGCATGCTAGTTATTGACATGAAAAATCATGCTTCAGTGAAGAAGTGTCAATTGCCTATTGGCAATAACGGATATTTATGGTTCCTTATATACGACTTGTTAATTGACACATTTTAATTGTGCTGCATAGTTACAATAACATCTTTTAACTCTTTCTATAAAAGAATGGTATATAAGTTCAATTGTGAAAGAGCAATAACAAATTTTGTTGTCCCTAATTTTCCTTTAAGAATTCAATCGCTCATGTCTCTCTAACTATATGACTCGCTTTCCTGGGCCATGGCTTACAGAAAAAGTCATTTAATTGATGCATTCTCTCTCCTTTATCCATTGTTGATATTATTGCTACTGTCGGCCTCTCTCTTTCATCCACCAATTGATCCAATAGCAGATAATGATATTGTTTCCCTTATCTCAATCACTGCCTCCATAGAATTCTAATAGTTTTCACCAAGGAAAAACTTACAATGATTTATAGCTCTTTTAAAATTGATTGACCATAATTTGAGATTATTAGCTATTATCAATTGTCAGAAAAATAAGTCTATTACATCCATAAAAAACCGAATTGCTTAGTTCTGCAACACCTTTGAGTGATTTGGTCCCCAGATAAGTGGATATGATGAAAAGAAAAAGTTGATGTGATTGTTCATAGTTGTAGTGATAGAGCATGGCAGTCGAGAGTAGTATTGGTAAGTGGCAGTGGGGTGGTACATTGTCAACGGTGATGGTAAGCGAATGATGGTGGTTGTTTTAATGAGATGGGCCATCTCAAATTTTCTTTTAAGACAACTTGATTGACTTTTGTTCTATTCATATGAATGTAGACATGTTAGAGAGTAAGAACTTAGTTTGCTGTTGAGTTGTGGTCTGGTTGTCTATGTTAAAAACAAAATTTCGCATATAAATTATTCTTAAAAAGTGTTTTCCTGTATCATTAAGATTCATTGGAGGCAGGAAATATTAAGGTTTTGCGTAATAAAATTATATTCTAAAATAAATCTTCTTTGTAATTGGGATTTGTTTGTTAGCATTTTAAATCATTGATGCAAAATCTAAAATAGAACTTCTTTGTGACTGAGGTTTATTTGTTAGCATTTTAAATCATTGATGCAAAATCTAAAATAGAACTTCTTTGTGATTGAGGTTTATTTGTTAGCATTTTAAATCATTGATGCAAAAGTGGTATGTTCCATATAGATGTTTCAAATAATTAAGTTATATCTACAGCAATACTTCTGTTTGTAATAAATTAATTTGGTCAAGAGGTTCCCACACTGTAATTGTAAATGGCTAACTTTTTGCTCTCTCGATTGTTTTGAAAGACTGGTGTATTACTATATGCACTCTTGAGCTTATTTATAAAGGGAGAAAGGAAAAAGTTACCTGGAAATGGAGGAGGAGGTTATCTTGGTTTTATATTGCATCACAAAATTATAAGCCTTTTGGTAGCTTCAAGGATTTTGTTGGATCTGTTTGTGCTCTTTGTAACTGTGTTGTTACTGCAATCAATTATGCACAAGCTGAGTCTATTAATATATATTTATGGCCTGTTATATTTGCCTTTGATTTACTTTGTTCTAAAATGATGGACAAGTCCGGGAGACAGAGTAATTGTGTAATGTGATAGATGCTTCAATGAATTTGTGTAGATTACAAATTACAAATATGAGATTCTATCTTGGATTATTAGGCGTTCTACTAATCATTAATATATCCCCAATCATTTTCTCCAAGAAATTCCCTTCATATATTTTAACTCTTTCTTGTTTTTTCTTAACTTTTTTTTTTTATTTCCTTCACTTTCTTATTAACCAAGCACTCTGCAAATTAGGAATTAACTAGAGAAATGAATAAAGATTTCCATGAATCTTCATGCCTCAAACCTATGTTGATTAAATATGTGTGCATATATATCCATAACAGTTAGGAGTTATTATGGGTTCTACTTAAGGTCTAATGTTTAACTCTATGGATTGTAAATTAACTCCATCACCCATCTCAGGAAACATAAGTAATTGATTCTACTTAAGGTCTAACATTTAACTTTCTACCTAGGGACCCGGTTAAGATCCCTTGGGGCAATTATGGGGCTGAGTATATTGTTGAATCTTCTGGGGTCTTCACAACAACTAACAAGGCCTCAACTCACATAAAGGTTAGTTCTGAGTTTTTTGACACTATTTTTTTAGTTCATTGCTATCTTTTTACCTCTTATACATTTATGTAGAAATTTATGATATTTGTTATATAAAATTACATTGCAAACACTGGTAAAGTTATGATATTGGTAAACTTATGTAGAAATTTAACTTAGGTAGGCTGAATTTGAAGGGATTGAATTTAATGAGGTGACAATAGGAAGAGTTGAAACCGAGGGACAGGATGCTGAACAATGGTGAATAGTAAAGATGATTTATGCAATGTATAGATGAACAATCAAAAGTACAGAAATTGGGACCAAAATTAGACCTTGAATTAAAACCAAGATTATTGGCATAGGTGAGATGACTATTTTTCCATCAGATTTCAAACATTTATAGCCTTTATGAATAAGGTTGTATTCTACAAAAACACATTTGGCTGAATGAAAGAAGAAATTTAACTTATTTTAAAATTTTAAACTAGGGAATTGAAATTTAGATTGTTAATCTGTGAGATATTTGCTTTTCTACTCCATCAATTTGATTTTGGTTTGTTGCTGCAGTACGTTCTGTGAACTTTGAGGAGTAGTCTTTCTTTTCTATTGCCATTTCATAAGTTTTTTGTCACATATTGTATACCCTAGAATAATTATAATTTATTTGTAATAATTTAGTTTCTTGCTTGACTTATTGATTATGCATTGAATTGATGGTAGGAAAAAATGATACATTCGTGCAATAATGCTTGAAGGAGCAGCTCATCTTACTTGAAGGAGCAGAAGCAGAGTTAAGGCGCATAGTCCAACAACAAGAAAATAAGATAAACAGTTGTATGGACTATACATATATATATATATATGAAGATATGATATTTGATGTTAGTGTTCAGATTTTTATATTGTGATGGATTATTTTGTTGATGTTGAATGTATAAACTAAGTCAATACAAAATGCTTTTGCCACTAATTATTTTCTAAAAAAAAACACATTCTGCAACTAATTTTGTAGTAGCAAACAGTAATTTATCATAATTGGATTCCACATTCAACGTCTAAAATGACTAGAATTAACTACTAAATTTTGGTCACCAAAAAATACATTCGGCCACTAATAAAAAATAGTTGCGAAAACCTATTGGGTTCCACATTCAGCGTCTAAAATAACTATAATAAACTACTAAATTTTGATCACTAAAAGATACATTCGACCATTAATAAAATAGTCGCGAAAACCGTTTGGATTCTACATTCAACGTTTAAAAGTATTACAATTAACCACTAAATTTTAGTCACCAAAAGATACATTCATCGACTAATAAAATAGTTACAAAAATCTTTTACGAAATTACCCTTACACCTTTGGCGTCTAATTTTTGTGGGATTCACGACAAATTATTAGACACTAAAATGTACATTTTGCAACTAATTGATTAGTCGCTATACAATTTTACCAAATTACCCTTGAACTTTTAGCGTCTAAGTTGGGGGACTAATTTGACCAGCATTTGGCGACTATTTTGCTAGTCGCAAAAAAAAAAAAAAAAAAAAAAAAAATTTGCGTCTAAACCAAAATTTAGACGCGCTATTAATCTGCGACCAGCCTACTGCAACGAAGGGGCGACTACCAAATTTAGACACTAAAAATGGCTTAGCGTCTAAATGTGACTTTCTGCGTCTAATTTTGCTAGATCAGAATGCCAGTTTTCTTGTAATGTTATAAATCTCTTTTAATACCGTTTGTAATCCGCATAAAACTTAAACCTTTTAATAATTTATTTTACCAATAAGCTCGTTCAAATGATTTAAACATACACCAAACTTTGATCATAATAGTTGCCAATTATCAGCCAATCTCCTTCATTTTATTCAGCCAATCTCCTTCATTTTATAATCTGTTTATTGATAACATTCGATAAATCACCTCTCAACGACTCTAATGACACTTAGGGTGTGTGGTTTAGGGAATGTTTTATTATTGAGAATGTTATATTAATGAAAAAATTGATTACCTTGAAGATTACCAGGAATGTTTAGAGAAATGTGTTTGGTTGGTTGAAATAAATTGGTGGGTATGCTATATTAATATGTTTGATTGGGAGGATAAATGGGTGGATATGTTATGTAAATTACTAAATTGCCCCCTTTTTAAATACTAATATAATAATAATAATAATATTATTATTTTTTGAACTATTTTCTTTTTTAACTTCCTATATTTAAAATTTTGCTAAAATACCTCAGCCATATAAAACTTTAATTTGTAGCAAAATCACACTCACTCACCCCAAGCCACTATCGACAACCAGCCACCATCGCCGGTCGCCATCGGTAGTCGCTGTAATGGTGCAGGACTGGCAAAATCTGGCCAGTTATGCGCTAGTAAGGCCGTTTCGACTATGGATCTGTGATACATTACTAGAAACGACAAGATCTAGTTGTTTCTATGGCCTTTTCACGGCCAAAGATGTACGTTTCATGGCCAAAGATGTGGCCGTGAAAGGGTCACAAATCTGGCCGTGAAAGGGCCATACAGATCTTTGGCTTTGAAACGTCGATATGGGCTAATTGCCTAATAAAAATGATAATACCCAAAACTTTATAGGGAAATCGCATCTTCTTCCTCAGAGTTGTCATGCCAATATATACACTCTTCATTTCTCTCTACTTATATATAGTTTAATTCAATGAAGTTAATTTTTATTTACACGATTTATCCATGATAAATGAAAGGGAAACTAAGAAACAACTACAAGAAAACAAAGGAAAAGGAAAGTTATTTTGATCGATGTAACAAACATATAGAAGCTTTAAGACCTTTTAGTTAGGACACTCTATAAGTCAAGCCCGAGCCACTAAATTTTTCTTCATATAGCTTTTCTAGCGTCTGGACATTGAAGGTGTTAAATAATTTTTCTAATCTCCCACTTCGCATTTTCTATAGAAAGATCACTATATTTAATTTAGCCCTTAAAGGAAGTATCCCGGTCTTGCTTACCTCTAAATTTTTCATATTATTTGTTTTTGTGTCGTTTCAAAATTTCTTAAACCAAACCCTACTCATTAACTCTAAAAAGTCCTTGATATTTATTGTTAGGAGAGGATGTAATGAATTACATTAATTATAGTTATAGACAAAGGAAAAAATTTATTAGTATTAACCTCAAGGGGTTGGCCTGGATTCAAACATTGGGGCAACCTATCACAATAACATTGTGGTTTACCTAGTCATTTGGGCTTGTAGAGTATTCTATGGATCCCGAGGATTAGTTGAACTACACACAAACTGGCTCGAATACCCCCGGTTACCCAAAAAAAAAAAAAAAATAGTATGACCATCTATATATCTATATAATCCTGAAGCACTTACTATTTGAATGCCACATATGACTCTATAATTGCTACAAGCGACATCATATTACTGGTTTAGGCTATAATTGGGGTAAGTGTTTGGATGTTATTGGTTTAGGCTATTTTGTATTATTAATAACAGATACATTTAATATTTTGTGAATGTTAAATATTTTATTAATATTATATTAGATCAACAGAAACTCTTCACATTCATGATAAATGTTTTATGATTATACGTTAGTTTTGATTGTTTCTAACTAATTGAATGTGAAGGGTAAGAAAGTGAAAGGGCAGAGAACGTGAAAGGAATTGAAGATCATTTATTCACAAAGGTTAGTTAATTAATGCACGAAATGCTCACTAACGACAAATTTTCGAAGCGTAATCTCACTGAATCACCTTTTACAGATTTATAATTGGATTTTCTAATCCATTAGTCCACACTCATCTCAATCTTAATTTATGTCATGCATTTTTTGACAGATTTCTAGGGTTAGGGTTGTATTTTTGCTCATTTAGAACGATTTATATGTTGATGTTTGAAATAGTTTGATTAAACGAGTTTTTGTTGGATTTTCAGATTGAAATTGTGATTTGAGTATAACAAAATGGAGGACGAGAAGAAGAAGAAAGAGAAACAAGAAGAATAATACATATATATATATTATATAATATATATTATATATATAATATATATATATATATATATATATATATATATAAGAATTATTTAAAACAGTTTAATCCACTTAAAAAGATTTAGATGGGTTAGAATTATTAAATATGAACATATTTTTGTCAATGAGATAAATTTGACAGCATTTCAGTCTTATATTTAACATATTTTTTGTATGAGTAAACGACATATTCCCACCCAAGGTTTGATGAAATTCCAAGTTGGTACGCCTGGTTCCATTTATTCTAGATTCTCACCCTTAAAATAACACTGTTAGTAATATTTAGGTTACAGAAGGTGCTATTACCATAATGTCGTTAACAAATAAATTAATAAATTATGTTTTAACTCCTAAATTATTAAAATTATAAAATTAACCATCTTATTTTCAAATTACTTCAATAACACTCTTGGTGACTGCGTACCGTCTAGGTTTTTGCCGGATCTAGGTTGTTTTCGATGGCGTTGAACCCCTTAGTCACCTCTATCACCTTCCCCATCATCCGTCGTCCAGAACCACTCTAGTTCCTGACTCATTGGCCCCTCCGATCGCTGGCGTCGTAAGGCTTAGGGTTTCGCTGGATTTCGACGACGAAAATCCAATTGGACATCACCACTGCAACTAGTGTCTCCAACTCTACAAAACACCTATGTCTCCAACAACCGTTTAGTAGTCGTTCGCTAGTCAAGACTGACAAAAACCAGTCGCATGTAGCGGCTGTCGTGGTTGGCGATTGACAAGGTGATAAGGGATTGTGAAGGGTAAGGTTTTGTAGAGGGGAGGATAGAGGTTCGAATAGTGGTGATAAGGATGATTTTGGGTGGAAGAATCGCTGGAAAAGGTCGAAAAACGTTGGGGGCGACATCAACTAATGTTTGTCGGAGCACTGTTAGGTGCAGCGATCTGCTAATGTGCACCTCCTCCTGTAAAATGATCAATTTACCCCTTAACTGTTATATCCAACAATTTTCTGTCACTTTAAAGGTGAGAATCTGGAATAAATAGAATTAAGGGTACTAATTTAGGATTTCATTAAAGCTCGAGTGGGAATATGACCTTTACTCTTTTCGTAATGATCACCAATAGTTGAGACGTGCGTAGCATGTGGATTAATTTGGTAGCATAGTATATAATAGAAGTAAGGGTTAGTAAAGTAAAGGGCTATTTTCTAGTGCATTTCTTACATGCATCGATTTTCTCGAAGTGAGTTTTTTAAAGTACGGCCAGTACTGGCAGTAAGTTGAACATGAATAAAGAATTTAGGCAATAATTTAACAAGCTGATACTTTTCAATTTATATATTTTATTATTATTGTGATTACTATTATTATTATATTTTTTCTGTTAATGGTTAGAGATAGTGAAGTTAACATGAGGAAACTCCAAAGGTTTGGTTGACAATAAAAAAAGTTTGCTTCTTTAATTGATTTATTGGATTTAAAATACTTTAGTACCATTTATCACATTTATAACTTACCTTTAAATATTGAGTTTGTAGAGTGTTCAATAAACCTCAAGGATCGCAAGTTCACCTGAGCATCTCGATTATTAAAAAAAAAAAAAAGTTAGTGTTCAATAAACCTCAAGGATCGCAAGTTCACCTGAGCATCTCGATTATTAAAAAAAAAAAAAAAAAAAGTTAACATTAAGAAATTTGGCAATAGTTCATCCCTCATAAGTGGAAATTGGGGGTGGATATATATTAGAGTTGGTCAAGGAGTGGTCCCAAGTGGGCTGGGGCCTGGGCTTATTTGGGACTGGTCCCATTTGGGACCAGTAACTCATGGCCCGGTCCTAGGCCCATGAGCGATTTCAGGACCCAAACCGGTCCTA